GAGCACAGCGCCGCTGAGACCGGAAGGGAGACGGCGAGGCAAAGGCTACGGCATTGGCACCCGTACGGGGCTACTGCACAGCAACGGGGATGAACCCCTCCGCTGATGCTGCTCAGCTCTTCTCAGCAGTCTGTAGTGCGTGAACCTGGCTTGGCTTTGCTTTGTGTATGCACATCGATGCTCACACATATGCATAAAACCTGTAATTTCTTTTCCCTTACCTGCCTAATTAGAAAGCAGGTTCTGCTGCCCGTGACGTGAAAGCCTGCAGTACCTCGGGCTGCACTGCGCGCGGAGCTGGGCATCGCTTTCGCTCTCTCCCAGGATCGCATTCGCTCTCTCCCAGGATCGCATTCAACTCGCGGCGCGAAGAAAGCAACTCTCTCTTTTTTTTTTTCCTTTGGGGATCCCGTTTTTTTTTAGCACTGAGGCCAACTAACAGGGAGCGTACCTGAGCAGATTGGCTCTGGGCTGCTCCAGTGCGGCCTCGATGCGTTGATGCACGTAAGCACCCTGGGACCCTGCAGCTCGTAGCCCAGGTGACAGTGAAAATGAGCAATTCCACCCGAGTGCAAATCCATCACGGTGACATCTCCGAAATCAGGTCTCCGTGGAAAGCTGCAGCTCAGCATAAACACTGGAAGAAGCACAGACATTTCAGAGCTTTAAGGCTTGTCTGCTCCGAGCCACCCTGCAGTCGGGGGGGGGGAGCGCTGGGGACATGCTGGATGTGCCCACGGTGCCACGGACAGAGCTCGCTGCCAGGTGCCGGCTGCGGAGTGCCGACAAACCACCACGCTGCTGCTGCTCCACCTGTTACCGCGTTTTGCTCAGACCCAGTTTCTATTTTAAAAAGAATTCGCTTCTCCTCATCTATTTTTTATAGCTCTTCAAGGGAAAAAAAGAAAATAGACTTGCAGTCTGAGGCTGTGCGGGGAGAGCTGCTGCGCGGGGACAGAAACGGGGCAAGGCGGGCGTGAGGAGCACAGCCAGCACCGGGGTGCGGGATGTGGGTGCACGTTGAACCCTCTGCTCTGGGCACGACACAGGCTGCTGCTCGACCTGCCGCGGCCGATGCTCCCAGCACAGGCACGCAGCGCAACAGGAGCCCGGTTGGTCTGCGATGGCAGAGCCCGGCATCCTCCCACCCCTGCAGCCCGCTGGGGCTGAGCCCCACGGGACGGACACCCCATCCCACCCCTACTCGCGCACCCACATCGGGGAGGTACCCACCCTGGTAGTGGAGCTGGAAGGTCCCCACCACCTCATCCTGGAAGGTGCGGAAGTAGACGGAGATGGTGTTGGTGGGGCTGCGGATCACTTGGCCCTCCACCAGCAGGGTCTGGTTGGCCAGGACCACCAGGGCATCGCCGTCCACCCCCC